AAAGGCATTAGCAGGAGCTACTGTCTAAAAATATGTGTTTTTGTCCTACCCCATTAGCCACAACTAAATATGGAATTTCCCAACGTACAATAGCACATCCTGCACGTACAGTGTCCTTCCTCCTCATTTTCCGTGTGTGGATGCCTTGAGTCAACTTCTCAGAGCTGTTTGCATCAAATAGGCAGAGTCAATTCTGAGAGCTTCAAAAACTATACCAAGCTGGTTAATATAGCCACTATGATATATACCTGGGTGTTTTGGAGCTGGTATTCTGCACACATTCTGGCATTTGGGGTCTTTGTGCTTGTTTCCCTATGTTTCCAGCAGCAGCAATACTCCATTACTTCATGAGTCCCAGCAACCTTAATTAAACAAAGATATTCTCAAAGATCCCTTACTTCCTTATTGCCAGCAGCCACTGGACAGGACCGTAGGTAAGGTCTCCAGCATGGTGCAGAGGTACAACAATACAACTTTAATTAACTTCAAGTTATTCAAAACAAGAGAGACACACAAGGAAAAGCAACCCTTGCTCAGATGATGAGACAGTGGCACACCACACAGGCTGGGAGCAAGCAGAAGCAAGACGGGTTCACTAGCAATTCAACCCTTAAATTTGCGTAACATTCTCATCTTTGCCATTTTAATACTTTTTTTCTTCCCTTTTTGCACACACCTGCAAAACTGAATGTCTGTTGCACAGAAAACAAGGAGAGAAGCTATTGTAGCAAACAACTCAATGGCATTAACTGGTCTAACACAAATGCACTTTGGGTTGTTCTCACAACGAACTTTGGTCAATGCCAACATTTCCAGCACCCAGGTGTAAGTGCACTGGCAAAGGCAGAACCACCGGCACAACAAAAGCCACTGCTCAGCTCACAGACAGTTGTCATAGAGACAGATCAGCATCCCGGGGTAGTCTCATTTTAAATACGCACAGAAATCCTTTTTAACCTGTCTTCCTGTAGGCATCTGTCCTCGTGATTCATTTATAAATTGTTGAGGCCAAAAAGAGAACCATTTATCAGCAGGTCTCCTCTAGGCACGCTTGAGCTAAGGAGCTTTTCTGCAAACTTGATGTTTTTTGTTGAAAGCAAGTTTCTATCTGATTCTCTGGCTAGTGGTTCTAAAAGCTGTGGTTTCGGGAAGTGATCCAGCTTCGAAGTAACCTGGCCAGGAAAAAAAAAAGGAAAGTTGTGGGTAGTGCTCACTTTGGTTTTTAAACCAGGTCAGATCCCTGCTCCAATTTACAGTGTGGGTGCACCAAGAGCTGCGAGAGGACAGCACAGGGGTGGCATTTCATGGTCCTGGGCACAAGGGCAGTGGTGGTGGGGGAAGACAATATTGTGAACGTCTGAACATTTTTTCTCAAAGCCATAGTACAAGGCACCTCTTGCCTTTACATCTGAAAGCTGCAGCTCCAAATGAGAAGCAAAAGAAATACATTAATCTCTGCCTGTGTGGACAAAGTTTCATAAGCTCCTTAGCCACTGAAGGTGCAAAGACTTTAAATCTCTAAAACTAAGTGCTCAGCTGCCTTCTGGAGCTAGGAATCTGGCAGGCAGCACAGGAAACCATATTCTAGGGAAAAAGCCCCAGAAGGTGCCTATGGGGACAGCAAGAGCCCACAGAGTAACAGATGTGTGGCTCTGGTTGCAAAGGTGATCCTGAGACCCAAAGGTCTAACGCAGCAGGATTCCCCTACAGATCTCTGCAGAGGAACGAAAGGAACGGGGAGGGGGGGAAAGAGCAGCAGGTATGTAGGTCGCCATGGCCAGACCCAAACTGAGGTAGGAATTCAAAATTACACAGCCCCAAAGAGACACATACAGAGTGATACTGAATCCAAAAATCCTTAGCTTTCAAGACCATGTGCTACCTCTGTAATTTGACTCAAGGTCTTCTGTGTGACCCAGACACGTTAATTCCCAAGTTATTAAAAAAAAAATATCTTCAACCATTGAGCTATAAAGATTTCTGCTTCTAAAATCACTGCTAAAAGATAAAACCATAGGCAAGCAGATGCTGCTCTCAGACTAGGTCATAAAAATTCAGCAGCGACATTCAAAGAGGAAACGTTCCCCTCACCACGGTATGGCCAGCCCAACACTGCTGCATCTTACTGGAGCCATCCCATATTGGGTGCAAGGGGTTCCCTGGCCAACCAGTATTTCTGCTATTATAAAGATACACCCATGAATGGTTTCATCTGAGAAATGTTCTTAGTTTTTGGGAATAAATCCTAAAGTATGTGGATACTATGAGGGAGATCAATATCATCCCAAAGGGGAAACTGAGGCAGGCAGAGAGAGCACCAGCCCAAGGCCACCACGGCCAGTGGTAAAGCAGGCTGGGACATTCTTCCCCCAATGATTTTAATACCAACAGGAAGCAGTAGAGTATGTCACACTGAAAAATGGCATGGTGGAAGTGAGCAAAACAAGTCATCACTGTTCCATCAGGAGTGACCCCAAGATAGAACCTCTCAAACATAATGCAATGTATAGGAAGAGGGCTCACATCCCCTGGAAAAAAAAAGCACAGGAGTCATCCATGCCCAGCTACCCTCTCCCTTAAGACCGTGGGATGATCATTTCCTTCACTCACATATTTATTTGGAATCTGATAATTCATTGCCCCTAGTTTCCTGCTGGAGTTTGTCTTCCATTGTTCAGGATTTACATTACTCAACGGGAAATCAGTGAGAGGTCCAGCGATTAGAAAGGTGTGTTTCCCATTTGGACCCACCCTTGCTTGCTCGCTCAGGGCTGGAAATCAGACCCAATGAACAACTGCATCCATGGGAACTCAGGGAAGTCGGGGAGCAAAGGCAGAGGGATTAATCTCCTGTTAAAAGCTACAGATTGCTTTTCCGGCCATATGCTGCTGGCCAAGTCCACACACCCATCTCTCACATACTGGTCTTACTCAGGCCTTACAGTAACCACTTTCTCCGTGCGGTGGTAGAGTGCAGTTTATCAAAATACAACTATCAAGGCAGTAGTTGAAAAGAGCAAGTATGGTGAAAGCGTTCCTTGAACTAAAATACAATTCATTCCCAAAGACCTTTACTTTTGTTCTGACATGCTTGCCAGGGGAGAAGGATTTTTGCGTAGCATAAAGAGCCACTTGTGAGATATAATTCAGTTTATCACATTGGTTAGGAACTAGGCTGAGTAGGAATCAGCCCTCTCTGGCGCCCTTAGCAGTGGCTTTTAACCTCGATCTCACAAATGATGCTCCAATACATTCTCTTTATTGGCTCCTCTGTAACAGCACAGAGCAAAACAAAACACCACTAATCTTTTACGGGGTACCACTGGAACAGAATGCTTCTCTGGCCAAATCCTCCCACTGAAAATGTCACAACTGCTTTAAAACATACTTCCCCTGAGGTTACTTTGATAACAGGTACTCAACTAAGGCACATACAGTGACTGCTCAGCACTACACTGTAAGCGTGACTTGCGGAATGCAGCTGGTGACCTTTCTAGGCCACAGCTCCCAGTCACCCATGCACTATTGTTCCAACCCAAACATCTCCAAGGCTTCCCAGTTAGCTCATCAAGTGCAAAGGTTGGGGTTTTTTATGTTTCTCTGGCATTCAGAATGTGCTTGGGAACAAAAGCCCAGCTTATTAGCCATTGTATAATAAACCTCAGAGGGAAGCCTCTGTTCCAAAAGAGGTTTAAGCAAACTCTGCAGGACTTCAAAGTGGGAGTCTGATTTCCAAAAATTATTGGAATACAATTTTAAGAATGATTATTTCCTTTGAGAGCAAGGAGGGACCTTGAGGAAATGCCCGTGCTCCAGGCTCACTTATGTGTGCCTAACCAGTCCCCTAAGTCCCCCTACAACAGATGTAGGCGAGATAGCCTTAGACACCACAGTTCCTACACCAGAAGGTTTATCCTGAAGTATAACACCAATCTCCTCTACCGAAATCCAAGATACAGATGTCTCATCCTGTCTATCTCAGACACAGGGAACAGAACATTGCCTCCACAGTTTTGCCAGACTAAGCCATGTGCTCTGTCATGAGAAGGTTGCAGATTACAGACGCTCATCGTTCTTTTTGCTCTGCAGTGATTTTTCTAAAATTAGACTTTCCTGCAGCTAGAGACAACACTGAGTAAAATGGAAGGGTTACAACATGCCTCTTAACATACAATCGTCCTGTTTACACATCTCAGTATGCTAGCTTCTTTCTCAGCAATATCCTTATGTTGACTCATGCTCATTTTGCAAAATGAAACAATAGAGCTTCCTTATATTAAGAGATTATTTCGTCTCCTGCTCAGGAAGGCCACTGGGTTCTATCAATTACTGGAACCTCTATCCACAAAACTGTCAGAAGCCACCTCAGAGCAGCTGAATCTCAAATATAAAAGTATTTTTGCTGTGATAGTCTAAAATATCTGGATCTACTTGTAAAATAGAAATGACACATACCACAACTGATACAAGATTATTTAAATCATCCCAGACAGAAAACCTCCTCACTAGTATTTCTTTCTCTGAAACACACCCAACACTTACAAGTATTAGCTTAGATAACATTTAGTCATATTCCCTGCCCAGAGAACTGCTATGAAAGCTGTGGAAAACATGAGTATTGCAAGCACAGAAATAAATGTGGAGGATGAGCCTTTCACAGTGAAATGTGCACTAAGGATATCTGACCTGCTTGATAATGAATGACACCATCATGATTTGTTTCATTGTGTAAGTTACTTACCCATTCCACCAGGGTTTTAGGATTTTGAAAAATGTTGGAAAATGGATCACTCTTTAAAAAACAGGAACTTTTCTTTTGATCCAACTTTACTTAGTGCTTTTGGTACATAACTTGATGCTGCTTTTAAGAAGACATTGGCACACAAACCTCCTTTTCTATTCCAGCCTGACTTTGCCCTTTGAGGGGAAATCCTTAGGGACTACAACATGAAATTGCTTAACTGGAGCAGGAGCCCCTTGCAGGGGCTGGATTCACTCACCTGGTCTAAGCGCAGAGCACCATCAATGAAGCGCTGTTTGCGGAGGTGCTGGGCGATTTGATGCAGGTTCAGCACAGCTTGCTGGATCTCAGCTATTGAGTGTTGAGGGGAGGCAGGGGGAAGTTCTTCAGGTGAGAACATCTTCCCAGGGCTTTCAATTATACTCTGTGCATGGTCATAGCTTAGCTTCACACAGGAGCAGATGACAGTCCGCCCAAACCATTCATCAAGGATCTGCAAAATTGGAAAGCATAAATAGATCTGAGGATTTATTCTTCCAGTGCACAAAAGCTTGGGAAGTTGTACAACCACTGGAAGGAATGACACCAGACCTAATCACTGACTGTGAACTTCAAGTGAAGATCTCTTACTGAGGCCACCAAAAGGTCTTTTCCTGATATAGATTCTCTAGTGTCTAATAATGTGTATATGCATAATGAAGTCTTTCCATCACATAGGAACTGCTTGGACCTCTCTCCTCTACCTGATTTCCCTCTTTCATAGAGTACATAAGAGCTACAGCCCAGCTGGAAGTTGAAATCAGTCAGCTGACTCAAAGGTTACTGAGTGCTGGGGTGGCAACAGGCAGATACACACGTGCAAAGAAGGATCTCATATCTAAAACACAGCAGATTGCATTCCATCTCTTTAATTAACATGGCAGGGCACCAGGGGCCAGCCCTAAAACACTCTATTTTCAGGAGTACTGCAGGGATCCCAGTGTCTGACTAGCACTTGTGAAAGTGCCTGAGTAGGACTTTGGTGGGTCTGGAGGAGAGATGGCGAGTCACTGATCCCTTGTTTCTCTGACCATGCCTACAGTCCTAGGTCCAAACTCAAGCCAGGAACCTTTCTGAGCTTCCAAACTATGTTGGAATCTAGAGGAAAACAATCTACAAATCGCCTATAAAATTATTTTAATTTAAACCAGAAGCCACTCCCATTTTAAACTCTGTAACAGAATACCAAAGTAGAAGTAGCAATTCAGAATTATTTCTTAAAGCAGAAAGGAAAAATCTATTTTCAGCTGAGATATATGAGAGTCCGCTCATCAAGCCAGTGAGAAAGCGCAGAGGGACAAAGGGCAGAAGACTTCAGAAAAGTCAAAAGCATGGGCATGAGGGCTCTGGAGATGGATGCAGTCTGTGGTAAACGATTCGAAGCACAAGGGCTCAGAGAATGAATAGAGAATTGTATTTCTGCCTTAGCTAGAAGTGCCACCTCACCCATTCATCAGCACAACAGGACAAGGTAAATCCTGCAAGTCACAGTGTTTGGGGAGAAGAGCCAGCTCGCTCTCTGACAGATTCATCAAGGTCATTGCTTCAGAAACACAAACCCTCTTCTTAACAGAACAGGATTGATCCCCAAGATAGCTTTTCTGCCTCCCTCCCTTATGCCCCACAGAACGTACGTGCAGTGTAACTCAGCAGCTCAGAGCTCTGAAAGTCACAGGGCATTTAAACTCATTTCTAATTAGAAAGTATCCTAATAGCAGAGATGCAGCAAGTGATATCTTGCAATGTAAAGTGCTGTAACTCTCAGCTCACGGTTATTCTGTGTGTGCCCCTTTCTCTATGCCAAGGACAAAGAAAGGAAGAAAAAGTCACAAAGGTGGGCAGAAATGCTGCGACAGTGCTGGCAGCACCTGCTCTGCGCTCTGCTGCGCCCCGTTAAATGTGGTTCACCTTCTTGTGGTGATGGGGGATCCATATCTGGTAGGTCAGCAACATTTGATGAAACTGCCAGACCCAAAAAAACCCCTGATATGAAGCAAGCACGATCTCTGGTGTGGAAGAGGCTGCGCTGCTCTTTAAATGATCCACTTCCAGCAAGTTGAAGATTATTAGCCCATTGGCAATAGATATACTTCAGACTTCAGTAAGACATGGATGGTACTCAGGCACCAAAAAGGTGGTGTTCCTTGTTGAGATGATCTGGGAGCAAGGCTGAGCAGCCTCCATTTGAGCTGAGCGCTTCTACAGACTCTCCAGTTGTAACAGACAGCTTTCTCAAGTTGTTGTTCAAACATTTTCAGACACTTCTATTTCCCTGCTAGTTCCTCCATCTCCAGCTATTCGTTTCTGCATCAAAGGGCATTATCAATTCTGGCTCTCGCTGTTATATTATCCCTCCCTAAATATTTTGTGTTTGGAAAGCACCCTCATTTTGCTATATAAAGTACATGAGTCAGTTCCATCATGTACATGCATGTTGAAAAGGGTTAAGGACTGAGCACAAACCAGAAGGGTAACTCCAAAGAGGAGCACTTCACCCAGTCCCCGGGTTAGCGCTGAAAGCCATCTCTGAGGCTACATGCTGCTTGCTGCCACTGGCTTCCAAGAGCTTTCTCTGTCCCTTGCAGGAGGCAACGGACCAGATTTCCACTTTGCTGTCTGAACTTGAAGCTTTCAACAAAATCTCATTTTTCTGCTTGCTTAGAAGTGGCCAAATGTTTCAGTGCTCTGCTCACTTCCTTGTAAGACGAGAGATGCAGTGTACAGGGCCCCCAGAATATAACTAGAACATCAAGCCTTAGGCAGGCTACATTCAGGGCAAAGTGTCAGGATAAGCAGCCTGTTACTAACAGATATTAAACTACTTTTATTTCTGTTTCCTCAATTTTTCTTTCTTGGTCTCTCAAAGGCAACCAAGCAGTGTGATGCAGAGCACCCAATTTCCATTCCTGCCATGGCTCTAACAGGTGTAAACTGGACAGTGACAACCCTGAGAGGTCTCTTACCAACATACCCAATAAACACCTTCTCACCCAGGTTGCCTGGATGCATTAAAAATAGTTCACACAACAAGGAATGGAGTTTTGGATGCATCTTGCCCTGTGCCGTCCAATAATCCCTGTTTGTAGTGAGCAGAGCTGCCAGACCCAGCCTTACTGCAGCAGGCTAAACTTAACTCTACTCACCATCCAAGCATTTCCTGGAAATGCCCTCCGTCTCTGCCTTCAGCGGCCATCCAAGCAGACACAGGGTAACCACAGCCTTGCGTCCCTGGTTTGGAAAGCCCACCAGAGGGTCGGGCAAGCTCCGCTTTTGCAGGGAAAGCAGCACAAGGCTGGCTGGCCCATGTACCATGGCTGATGGATGGGTGAAGCAGTGCAAAGGAGCAACAGTTGGGGGTTGTGAGCTGGGACTCGGAGATTACGATGAGTAGCCGACAAGACGGGTCTGCAAGGTCTCCCCCATCACAGCAAACCTGGTACACCCAGACTCCAGGCAGCGTACCAGTATCTGAGACATGTCTAGGGTTATGTTAAGGCTTCTCCCAGCCCTGACTGCTTTTGAGAAAAGGCTGTAGTCCCCAGCACATCATGTGATGGCAGTCAGTGTGGCTCAGCTGAAACCCTCCCATTAGCGCAGTCCCTGGTGGTACGGGTCTCTCTGAGGGTGTGACATAGCTACGCACAAGGTTGAGGACCTCCTCCACACAAGGCAGTGTCCATATCACATCCTGGCTGATGACAACAGTTTTGAGCTTGGAAGACACATTGTTTGTACAGGTTGTTTGAGACTGAAGCAATTTCTCTTCCTCACTGGTAGAAGTAACCAGCAGGGTTGTGCTTCAAACATTAGCAGGGAATAACTTAAAAAGAAGAGTTGCATAGTTTGTTTTCAAATATCTTTCTGTTGACTGCATCCGAACAAGAACGTGCTACGTTGTTCCTATAAACGCCCAGCTCTGCTTCTGAAGAACAGCACAGATGCAACAATATGGTTAACGCCTCTGTCCTTGGAAAATCATCTCAGATACATCATGTCACACTATCCCACTGGAGTCCATGGAGCTACGTGTAGCGCTGCTCAGGCAACATTTTGTTATACTCATGGAAAACTAGAAGATAAAAACTCCAGAGCCCAAAAGCAACAGAAACAAGAAAGTGCCTGTCTCCCAGAAAGGGCTGAGCCTGGCATTATTTTTCTAAAAGAAACAAGAAATAAAAACCCCAACAACTTATCAATAGTCACATTCAAGCGAGGAATCTGCGTGGCTTTTCCTTGGAAGATGGTTTAGCTCTAGTCTTGTTTGCTTTGGAACAGTAACAGCAGGAGCTCAGAGCAGCTCTCACCTCTATTCATGCTGTCAGGCTCTGCTTTGCAAGCTCAAGGTTACGATACTGCTGTGCACATGCAGTGCAATGAAGTGCTCTTCGGCCTCATGCGTCCCTCACTGAGGAATGTCCTGTCCTCAATGTCAGTGTTCTCACAGCTCTCCACCACCGGCTGAGGTTCAAAGGCCACCTTGGGGCCTTTGACTCACCTCCCTTTCACCCAGCAGAGCCTGGGAGTGCATGTGATCCTGTTTACACTGAGATGAAGCTATAGTAACACCTAGAAATACAGGAGACACATTCTGCTCCAACTCACAGATAAGCTCTTACAAGAATGCCCTGCTGGGCAAAAGCCCTACAACCACTTCTCCTCTCGGAGGAGTAAATTCTTCTTCAGTCTTCACCTGATACTCAAATCAAGTAACCTCAGTTAAGACTGCAGTCCTGAAAGGCCTCCTAGGAGAAACAAGTTTGCTGAGATGGCCGTAGGCAGTCTGATTTCCAAGGGACAGCACGGTCATGGCCCAGACCACTGCTCTTCCAGAGATCAGCTCCCTGAGCAGACATAAGGCAGATGCTGCAACTACTCTATTTTCTCACTGGCCAGACAGGATTGGTCTGAACACTATTTGGAAAGCAAATAGCATATACGTTGTAGGGTACAAGGACAAGATTTAATTAAAAGCTTATTTTAATTAAGACTTGACTACTAGCTGTTCAAAGACCCCTCAGAGTCAACAAAAGGCCCACCAAGTAGCTACTATTAGGAGGCCCCATGAGTAATCATGCTGTTGCTACAGGAAGTGGAACCCTTTTCACAGTGAATAAAAACCATCTCACTGCCACAGCAGGGACTCACTGGACAAACGCAGACATAGGACTGCAACTGTATTTTGCTAAAGCACAACACAAGACTCAGTATCCTTTGGAGCAGCATGGACAATAATAAGGAAGTTAATCTTTGTAAAAAATTACCAAACTGGCACAAGAAATACTCTCCACAGAGAGAGTTGTGCATGAGCACAATACTAGTTAAAAAAGATATTTCTGAGTACAAAAAGTATACTTCACATAGATCGGAGAGTCCTCTGCTAGTGGCAGTCTTTAGCCCTCCTTGATTAGCGAGGGGACCCTGTGATCACCAAAGAGGAGATTTTTTAGGGTTACAAAGGGTATGGGAGAGGAACAGGGAGAGAAACGAAGACCTGGGGAGAGCTGTCAGGCAGCTGAAGGCAGCTCGCTGCACTGGCAGACAGCCTCCACAACCGTTCCTTGGAAATAACACATGCAGAGGACGGACCTGTGCCTTTGCTGAAGACCTACCGCGCTTTATTTGAGTTGATCTAATTTGCAGCTCTGAAGAATGAAATAGTCTGTTTACCAGAGAGGCCATGGAGGGATACTGCCCTCATCCACTGCCCTGCACAACTGCCTATAAGCACAAGGCAGGGTTGGAGTCAGGGGGGAACATCTTGTCCCACCCAAAGCATTAGATTTTAATTGCTGATGGAGGTAAGACATTAAATGGATGGGTGACCTGGCAAGGAGCAGGAAAACCTCTATTTCTGAAATTCATACAAATATTCTTCCTTTCCCCACTATGTTGTGAGATTATTCCAGTCTGACGTTCCACAGTATCTCATTGGTAAAACAAAGTATAGGGACAGTCCTACATCCTCCAGTATTGTTCACTGACAAGTCCTTTGCTATCCACCTGGGTGTTAAGGGATGGCATTTTTATGACTGTTTGCAAGAGTAGGGGCTGGCCACCACGGTAGGACTGATTAGCAGGATGACTGCCTGCTACTTGAGGTACCTTGCCTTCTGGAGTCATCTTCCACATCACAGAGAACGTCAGTCTATCTTTCATGGGATTGAGACTGCATAACTCCTCACAGAGCAGTTTGGGAAGCATCGGAATCACCTGGAAGAGAAGAGAGCCTTGGTGAGATACGGGCTGTTAGTAGAGACCTGTCTGTGGCCGAGCTTCCCTGACCAGGTGGTAAGAGAGAGGCTCAACAATACACAAAAGCAGAAAATGTGACAAACCTTCAGGATCACATTCTCTGTGGCAGGAGTGGCTACGTCATAGCTCTGGGATGGATCAGCCATGCCAGAGCTACATCAGACGGTGAACAGCATATCAGCACAGAATGAGCAAGTAACCCAAACCCTCTGAAATGAACGGAAGTCAGACACTGCTGAGGCTACCAACACTCGCATCAGCCTCAACCTCAATGAGACCAGAGGGAGCTGTCAGTCTCCCACCTGGGAATCATTCCCAGTGCTCCCCTCTGAGGTATGGAGTAAGCATCTTGGAGCATCCTGCATCCTCAATTATGAAAACACTTTGCAGCTTTCAAGGTCACAAAGGTTGCTCTGTTTGCCACTTCTTTCCCAATGCCACTTTGACACTGGGAAGAATGAGGAAGACACAGCACATCAGAAAACAATGTTGAAGAAACACGGTCCTGGCAGTCAGGAGCTGAAGAGCTTGGATTTTGGAACCATGTTTCCTGCTTTGCCACTGAAGACTCTGTAACCAGGCAAGGAGCTCAAGTCTGCTCCCTGCAAAGCATAAATGAAACTTGCTCCCAAGCATGACAGGAGTGGTGCATGGCTTTAATGAAGATTGAGCCATGCTTTGTAGCACAGATAGGAATGTGTAGATGTTGGTGAGATAAACAAAAGCACCTGTTTTATGACTATTGAACATGGTGTTTGCAAACAGAGGGAGAACAATTACTATTTTACTATAATCAACTCTGAACAAAATGTCAGCCAACAGAAATTTTTGGCAGGGATTTTTTAACCTGTGTCCTAATTCCTTACAACTAATCAATGTTTCTGCTGAACACTGAATTACCAAACCACAAATTACTAACCTGACTATAGCAACAAGGCAAAAGATTTGGAGCATATTCACTCTAGAGCAAACCCGAGCAGCTCCAATTTTTCTGCCATATAACTGGAGTTATTTCCCAGGTGAAGTCTGCAGTAAAGATCATATTTAGCTGCTGTTTAACAAAGCAAACCTAATTATTAGAGTTTCACATTCTTATTTCCCTTCTCATTATTTACCTTTGTGAAGAAGCAGTAACTGCCCTCAAAGAACCACCATGTTGTTGTTCTTGTTTATTCTGCGTGGTAATGTGAGCTGGTGCATCCCCGAAAAACAGAGAGAGACATGCTTTACTTAGTTGCCATAAAATATGTTAGCTATTTAATTTAGTTCCTGTTTTGATTGCCCTGCTGTGCCACCCTGTAAGTTAGAACACACAGCAAGCAGACCAGCATGTAAATCCTAGCTCTTCCAAACTCTGTGACACCGATGTGGTCATTTCAGAGATAAGATTTTCTATCTAGATGCCAGGGGAACAACTGTTCTTCAAAACAGTAAGGAGGGGAAAAAAAGTCTCAGGTGTCCATTTTCTCCTCAAGTGCACACACTTGATATTTACCTTTTCCTTTGAAGGAAAGACTCTTAAAATATTTAATCACATTTGTGGTTTGGCACCAGGCAATGGCTATAAATCCATTCTAATTGCAGTGCATATTAATGCCAAAAGGTTAACTGTACGGTCTCTGACCATCAAGGAGTTGCTTGCAACATGAATCAGCAGCACTGGTTCAGCTGGAAGGTCACAAGGGCACAGATTATGATAAGCTGTTTCCCGCAACACAAAGGCCGTCAACTCTGTTATTCCAGTTGTGAACAGTACATTAACAATACTCGTACATTCATAACTCACAGATCCAGTACGTGAGCTCTGCCATGCTGCCTACAAGGACCCATACCACAGGGTTATAAATTTAGCATGAGCAGTGCCAACTCATACCACAGAAAGGACAGAAAATAGCTTTATAGACTATTGGAAATCCCTGCCTGCCTAAGATCACCCATGACCACTGTAAGACCCTGAAGTTTATGTCACAGTGAACAAAGTGACAGTAATTTAATAAAAGCTCCCATGCCCTTTTCCACCCAAATTAAAAGCTGCAGTTACTAGCTTTCTCTCTCTCCCCCGCTCTGTGATTGATTATCTGATAATGTTCTGTACTTATTGAATATTTCTGTGCCTTAGCACATCCTCTTTCCTTTCACATCTCCTGAAGCAATAACAGTCTGCTAGAAAAATGCCTACATGAAACATGAAAGCCCGTCCACAATGAATAGCCCGAACGAAACAACAGGATGCTTGTTTTAAGTGTACTTGAGCAGGATTAATATCCGATTCAAGAGGCTATAATTCTATGGAAGGGCTTTCAATGATGTGAAACGCAAGCAAAGCTTTAACTCAGATCATAATTACAGCACTAAACACTCACCAAGCAATTAGCTGTAACAAACCTACTGTTAAATAAGGAAGCATCAACCTGTATTACCCTTGTTTTACAGGGGAGAAAATTTAGGCAAAGTAACTTAACCCAAGCCATGGAGGAAATCTCACACGAGAGCAAGAATTCAATCAACCTCTTCCTGGGCTCGGCGAATACATACGTAACATAAGACAACGTGACCTTGCATTGAAGGTATTTCAATTTTATCTACCTTACTGGATTAAAAGAAGAAACAGGTTTTCAACACCACAACAGTCCTGGCTAACTGCCTCCCTCTGCTTTAAATTCGCTATTCCAGAGAATAAACCAACCGTTACAAAGCACAGAAGTTTAAGTTATAAATGCACATTTCCTTTTTTCTTAACATGATACGGTCACAGGCTGAAAAGATTCTTAGTAGTTGCAAGCCCAGCATTTAACATACAAAGATGTCACAATCATGTCACACTTGGAGAGCAAGATGTTTCAGGAGTTATCCCAGGGGCTGCCCAGAAGGAACTTTTGCAATAGGATTATCTCCATCTTTTTCTGAAGGAGACGCAGCATGAGAGGAGATTTCCCTAAGTACGTCTTTAATGCCCAGATTTGCAAAATATCAGGGTTGCATAGCATTACCTCAAATAATCCAGAGGTTGCCCGGCATCTTTTAAATGCTTTGCCCTTCCCGTGACTGTCTGCCAAGAGACAGCAGTGTCTGCCAGCTGCCCTGCGGAGCACCACGGCACGCAGAAATCCAGCTAGCTGAAACACTGCCGAGGGATATCACCTCCAGCGTGAAGTGGTTTCCTTAGCAAATTGCTAAGGATGTGCCTATGTTGGGGATCACATCATTCAGCTTGGTTTTACTGCAGGTAGAAATAACGTCACCTGGGCTTATACAGGGATCATAAAGCTGGAACGGGGAGGGGTGTATAAATGTACTTGAATCTAGAAATGCAGTTGGAGAGATCCAGCAGGGCTAAGGAAAAAACTTTCACAATGAAAAACAGGACCTATGGCCCCCAGGAAATCTTTTCTAGTGAACGTATCATAGAAACCAGGGCTGAAGAAAGGCTTGGGTGGTGAGAGCTTGCCTGGTTTTCATCTCCCTGTATCAGTCAGATTAATAAAAGACATCATCTCTCCCTACAAGCGCAGCAGGGCCCAAGAGATCCTGGAAAGGGCACTTTGAGTGAAAGGCTGACAGCCACAATGCTCGCAGCTGTGGGTCTGCATTTCAAATCAAATTACAGACAGAGGATCTCTCTCTCCCTATTTCCAAGTCCTACATGAAAAATCTCCAGCGCTACCATACGCAGCTCCAGCACTGCCCGACAGCCTCCCCTCCATGCTACCAGCTCTGCCCACAGGCAGCCGTGCGTCCCAGCACACCAAAGCAGCGGGCAGCAAGGGAAAACCGAAGTAAGAGAAGGCACAGCTGGGGCTGGGGGGATGCATGGCTGCATGGCGGAATCACTTCAGACACAGGAGGATGGAACCTGCTTGTGAGAGCCCTTGGTTTGAGTTTGTTTTGCCTCTTGGGATAATAAGGTGCTTCCAGAAACCAAATGAGAGTTTCCAGCCTCAGACTCATTCCTAGGGAGCTGGGCAGCGAGAGGGAGCACACGCACACTGGGATGATAAAACTCCCTGTTCTTTTTAAAATCGGAACCATCTGCTGCAGCCAGGACTGACTCACCAGCCAGGTTCAGAGTGGGTTAGCCAGCGCGGCTCTCATCAATGGACTCGCTGTAGCAACTTTTCAAGGAAGAGATGGGGAAAACTGATCAGTCAACCAAAGGGAAAAGGGAACAAACTCCGGTTCAGAAAAAAATTCAAAGTCGCACAGACAGCTTTGCTCCTTTCAAGCAACCCCATTCTGCTTTGCCTGCCCGCTCAGGCTTGGTTCAGTTGGTTACAAACACCACTGACTCCCAGGGTGACCCCTTCTCCCACCACTGGTCTGATGGGGAGGGACTGTATTAACCAAGAGTTTCCATCAGCTGCTCTCCCCAGAGATGGGAGGAGGACGCTGAGGTCCAACAATGGGGTGGGCTCAGCAAGCCTCTTGCTTACACACTAAAAGACACTCAAAGGAAATAGGCAATTTGTTTATGAGCCAAGATTTCTGCTCAAGACTTGTATCAACACTTCCATGAATTCAGATTTCGAGCAACTCTTTGTTACTCAGCCTGAGATTATCAAAATATCAACACCCTGACAACCTGCTGGTGTCAAAAGTGAGTATCTCGAAGTCCTTGGACTCAATATGAAGACAGGCTTACAGTTCCGATCTTTGATCTCCAGTATAAAATAGGACCAATAAAATATTATAGGGATTTATGGCTGACCTCTCACTCGAGCTGCTTCACACCTAAAATAACACTATAAGATGTGCCAAAAAAGAGGAAACTGTTTAGGTTTTCTTGCTGCTTAAAACCTGATACACTCTTATTTCAAAAACTTTCTACTTTTATTAAATAGACCACTAGCAATTACACAATAACTCCCCTTCTGGATACATGGTTCACGAAAATTAAATATGTGGCTTTATTTAACTTCTTTGGAAGGATTAGCATGGTGCTAACCTCTAGCAGAATCACAGCTGTCTTAGGAAACAGTTCCATCAAAGGAAAGCATATTTTCTACAAGAGTCATGCTACCATCTTGTTTCAGACAGCCTGTCTGCTTTCCTTTGCCCATCCCCTCTCTTCTTATCATCTCTTGCAATTAAAGTATTAACCATTTCATCATCTAACTTAGTTTTCACTCTTAAAATATATTTTCTGCAGGGCAGAAGTGTGGGTAAAACACTAATGCTGACTGCTGGGCTAAAGCAGTTGAGCAATTGAAGATTACGGGTATGCTGGCATTGCACATGACTGGCTGGTAGTGGCTGGGGGGAAAAAGCCCTCTGAAAGAAAATTCAATTAGTTTTTGAATTCAGATAGATTTTTATGAAAAATGTTTCCTTTCTATATAAAAATCTTCCTTCTCTTCTCCCTTTTAAAAAAAAATCACATGCCTTCAAACCATAGTATTTTGACTTGGAAATACTGCCACAACATCTTCCTGGACTGCAGCTTTGCTGCCCTGCAGTGACACCCCCCCTGAGCCAGCCCACGTCTCCGATAGCGAGCTACAGCCGTTGAGTCACCCATCAGAGAGGGAAGCACAGCACCGCAGAAGCCAAGGGCTTATCACTGGAGAAGCTGTAGGACTGGGAGGGCGCTGGTGCCAGAACTGCTGTTTCCATGAGATATGCATTGCTTCCCACTCCTGGAGAACAATAAGTTGCTGGTAAGTGGCGTCTTCCAGCACGGCCACTCCTTCATCCCATGCTGCAGCACCTGTGTGCTGTTGGGCTTGCTACCACCAACACAGCTTGGGCACTGCTGCATTGCTGACACGGTTACTCCGTGCAACCCATACCCACAGAGACCTAAAATTCATCCAACTCACTGATATCCCCTGAAGCTATGCCTTGTTATTTCTACCCAAGGAAAGTTACGGAACCACTACTAAAGGTTAACAGCTTGATATCAAACCACTAATTTGATTTCAGTAGTGTAAAATAAATAATTTTATTATCTGCAAAGTGTGGAGAGGACACAGTAAGCCACTGGAACAAGCATCATTACAAGACCCTCCCTGGATAGCCACCCTGGGAACATCCAGGAAGGGAGGGGAACAATCACTCCTAATCCTAAGTAGCAAGTAGGATATGTTTGTTTATTAGACAAAAGGTGCCTTGTCATCCTGAAAAGGGCCACAGAGACAAGGACTTCAGCCTGACTGAATGGGAGTGTGGAGAGAGGCAGATTAATCTGCTCCTATGAGATTGCCTCAACACTCCTCTTCATGCAGCTGATGCTTCAGGTCAACACAGGACACTAACAGCCAAGTTTCCCGGCTTCCCTGCACGCACAGTGCCGGCGGTATCTGACAAGCTAGGAAATGTTTCTGTGCATTCAACTGAAAATGTGACAGGCACAGACAAAACCTGGAGGTTTCCCTTCCAACAATGTTAAACTTGAACCTGTTCATTTTTAAAGTACAGAAGTCAACTTTAAACTTGACTTCAATGTTTGGTTCTGTTATGCTAAAATCTATACTATTTCAAATATCTTTTCACTGCATGATGAAAAGACGTAATTTCTTCAGCATTTGGGATACCCAGATAAAAGAAAACTCCATGAAATACTGCTGTACCTCAAGATGTGAGATTGCACAGGATGTTTTACACTCTACTCTGCTGTCCATCCACTTCTGGGAGGGATTAGCTGCTACCACTGCACTGAAGACAAAGACAAAACTCTCCACCAGCACAGCTGCAAATTTCAAGCTCCCAGCAGCAAAGCAGACGAGCCAGCTTGGGTCTGTCAGGCTTATCTCAGGTCAGCACAGTGCAAATGTAGCTATGAGCTCTGGGCCCTGAACTAGCTCCAGATCAGCAGAGTCCCATCCACAAGGAACCGCGCTTGAGCTGGCAAGCCCTGGCACACCAAGGTCTCTGCCCACAGACACAGGGTCACGAACCGCTGCTTCACCTCATGCTCTCTCCGTAGGCTCTGAGGTAGTCAGCAGCTATGTTAGCTCTTGCGTTTGCATCAATTTACACATTTCTGTAGGTTTGCTGCAATAATAGCAAGATTTTGATTGCAGGCATCTGAAAATGAACCTTTAAAATGAATTTACAGTAAATGGAAGACACACTTGTCAGACGACAAAAGGAAAAGTCATCCTTACCTTTTGCACTAGATAGACACTAGTTGCTCTTTCACTCGCTACTTTATCCAGTGCTGTTTCTTCCAGTACAAAGTAGCTTACATCCGCAATGTGAACACCCACTTCGAAGTTCCCTGAAATTGCACAAGGAAGTCAGTAGGTTGCAGGCAACATGAACTGATGACATATTTAAGTCTGACCCCTATCCCCCAGTGCTACCATAACCTTTTTGCCTTATGCCTCGATGTCACGAAAAATTATACTTCTTTCCATCTCCTCCACCTGAGATGAAAACTGTGGTCTCTCACGACACTACCAAAAATGCACAGCCACTCTGGCTACAATATACAAGTGAATCCTCAGGCACAGTGGTGGGTATGTGAAACCCCTTAAAAAACATGTGGGTAAGTCTTTCCAACTAGGCGCTTGTAATAGTGAGCCCAGTCCTCATCACTTTGCTGTCAGACAATAGTAAGCAAGAAATATGGGACCCCACCTTACAACCACACAGGCAATGCAGGACACCATTTCCCAGGTATGGAGCAGCTGGTCACGTGTGCTTTTGGGTTCTCAGAGTTGCACTTGTTTCCACTTCACCCTGGTTGATCCCAAATCGCTGCTGGTGACCTGGGAAGTCTTCAATGACTTTGGATCAGGCTATGCAAAAGCACAGCTTTCCACAAGCAGAACATTCCCACTGTTATCCTGCCTTCCCATCAGATTGGGTTTTTTATACTTTAATTAGAGTCCAGCCTAGAAGTATCTTAATTCAAAGGCTAGAGAGGAGTACTACTGAGGTTTATCATGAGGTTTTGGCAATAATTTGGATTTGGAAGTAGTGATCATCCTCAGCTTTGGAAGCAATTAGTACCTTGGCCCAAGAAATTCTGGTTTGCTAATCCTCAAAGCAGCCTATCGACCTTTGTTTTCTCTGGAAGGACTAGGCTAGATTTGAGGTGCTTATTTGTTCAATAGTTCTAAGTGCAGCGGGTTCCTAATTATAACATTTGGTTCTTTAGAGGAATTCACTAAGTTCTTGGTATCTATAAATATTTTTTCTTTCCTTAATTTTCTTAAAAAGATAATGTAATAAGATACCATGCTGGTGACAATCCTGTTTGTTTATATGCCTTGCAAAGAATATTATAAAATCCTTTCTCTAGAGTGTCACGTTTTTGAAGGATAAATGGTTCATAGCTGCCATCATTAGGCAGATCTGTGCCCTTCTGATGGATACTAGTGCTAGATTTCAGCAAAGTGGAAATGGAAGTGTATACAGGCAAAAGTTTGAGCTCATATTAGGAGAGCCACCCAGCCCTCTGTGCCCCCAGATAGGGGTTCAGATAAGCGAGCCCAACCCACCCTGTATGACTGTTTGAATTCATAGCAATTTTAACTTATCTTCATTAAGCCATGTTTGCGCTGCACATTATGTAAAGTATTATCTTGCATTTTGTGCTGCTTTTCTACACTCGACAGAGCACAGATGTAAAGGCAGCAGAAACGCACAAGGAAGATGGGAGCACTGGGGCTTAGATTTGTCCACATAACCTACAGTCACTGGAAGGTCCTGCAGAGAGTAAATATGATGGAAGCAGTGGGAGAGGGCAATAATCCCATCGCACACCAAGGGACAAATTCCACCACTCATTAGGAAGCTGGGAGAAAAGACTGCAGATTAAATGGTTCACCTCAGAAAGCTGCCTACAGCTGTGTTGTGATATTATCACATGCCTTGAAAGCTGCTCTACATGGATTAGGCATCCAAGCCTGAAACTACTTAGACAGTAAGTCTTAGACCAACAGTTCAACCAACAAGTTTAATATTACACGCACTCGAAGCCAACACACTCAGAAGGTAAAAAAATATTGAATACTTTGAAGTCAATATTGTAATGTATTGACCCTGCAGGCAAATATTGACGAAAGGAAAAGGAGAGGGGGTCATTACATCATGCCTTTAATCGTACTTTAATTCAATATGTGCACTGTTACATACATGAACTTTTTGTCCTTGGTAGAAAAATCGACAAACCAAGAAAGATCTCATTGCATGAGATAATAAAACATGGAGTCAGCCAACAAAAACACATTGAGTGGAGTTAAATTTCATCCAGGTTTCCCACCAGAGCTTCTAAAAGATGGGGTCAGCGTGAGCCCCCTGCTTTTGAACTTTTAATGGAAATTCTACCTAAATATTTTCTTACATACATTGACATAATGCAAACTGGCAGCTCTTGGGTTTGTCTTGCTCAAGTATGAATCACCCTATCTCCCTCACCCCAAAAAAATTCAGACCAAGAGAACTTAAAGATAACAGCACAGCGATCAACCAGTCTAACTTCTCTCAAATCACTGCTTTTTGATATGTTAGACAAGATACCAGCCTAAGCCTACACACAAATACCTGCCTACTGCTCTCTCCTGGTTCATTTGGTAATTAAAATGAAATAACTTTATGGATAGAGAAATACTATTCACTAGGATTCTCTTCCAGGTCCATAGACAGTTTTTCTAGTCTCATTAATTTTTATGACAAAGTCACAAAAGGAATATTTCACATTTTAAGCCTTGTGTTATTTCCCACGGCAAATAAAAAAATGTGGCCTGAAAGGAAAAGAGAGTTAAACTGGTACTCATTTATTCAAAATAATAATTGTCAGAGAGAGCAGAGAAAAGGGGGAAAGGGTGGACCACAGGGACCACACACCACAGGCTGCTACACATTATCTACTCTCTGCCTTCATTTTGTTGAAGAAATCTACTTTTCCAGCAAATAGAGGCTTCAAATCTTGGCATGTAGCTCTCCATCATGATAGACTGTATAGCCTAAATTTCTTACAGAAACAAATACTTCACAAACCACAGACTTGCTTCACCCCAAATTTAAAATTCTCCTACAGTGAAGTTAAAGCTGCACAACAACCCCTAAAGATAGGTATATGCTATCAGTTCAAGGATTTTTTTTTTAAAAAAGGAATTTACATAAGAATGTACAGGAGATTAAGCCAGACACTTCATATGTTGATATTAAAGCAAAAGCTGAAGGGAGCATCTATTGCAATGAAAAATGCTGAAGGCGCTTGGATGGCTTCTTTCACTCAGGATCTCTCGGAGATTTTTTATTTAAAATCATTTCCTCTGAAAGTGAGTGCAAAATTCAAACTCTACCACTACAACTCTGCTATGTGGGAGACTTTTAACAACAGGGAATGCAGTTTAGAATGAAGCAACACATGTTTTATTAACCAGCTGCACCCTATTAGCTCCCCTCTGCAAATACAGAGACACAGCAACAGAGATGGATGGGAGACAGGCGTATTATTTGAAATTACACTACGACACTGGAAAACCCAATAATGAGGCCCTTTGCAAAGAGGAGCTCTCTTCCTAAGGTCTGCAAGTAGAAACAGGGAAAGGGCTGGGCACTCAGCCACCAAAGCTCCTCCTGGGCCAATGCTCTGTGCAAGAGGGACAGGATTTGTTGCCACCTTACTGCAAACACCACAGTTTTGACGCCCTTGCGGCACTGCACACAGAGAAGACAACTTCCCTTTTTGTTTACCATCATGTAGGTTGCTAAAATGGCAGAATATAACGGGCTTGTAGTTCTCCAACTTCCTAGAAACCTGGATCCCCTCTCGAAGCTTACCAAGTGATAGAGCTATGAAAGGCAGTTCTCCCCCAGCATGATGCTGCACTAGGCACACAGCAATTTTGGAGGTTTGGTTCCTTGATTTGAGGATCTGGTTTGTTTGAACCTCCTCCAAAACCTTGTGTGCGTAACACTGATATGATGCTAAAATCAAAGGAGAATTGGTGGCACTTCACAGAAGAACAAAGAACAAGCTGTTCCTGTTCTTTGTTTTTTTTCACTGATGATTTCATTATCTACAATGAAACTGTTCAAAGAAGTTTTTCCTTCTTTATTGAGGAAAGGATTAACAAGAAAAGAGCTGGAAGAGAAGGAAGAGGCCCTTTCAGCCTGTAAATTCTCCATAAGAACTGCCAACCCAGGAAGTCGTATCAAGTATTTGCCCCAGGAATTAGAAAGTTGAGTTGAATGTATTGGAACAGTATGCAAGGGAAGACACTGGCAGCAAATCCCTGTCTTCAGCAACCCTAGTCAGTCCTAGCACAAATGCAGAAAGACTGACCAAGCAAGTTCACTTCATAATTTAGCATATGCAAATTTTAGGACCATGCAACTTAAAAATGCAACTCTTGAAGAATAAAACAGCAAAAGGTAATTCTCTAGTATGCAGACATATGCACCTTCATGTTCTTCTCACCTTCAAGCATCATCATTCTCAGGAGAGAAGACAAACACCAGCAAGAGTGTTAAGACAACTTAGAATCTAATACCAAGTTTTTTGTATTAACCACTATTTCTCACACTGTCTTCACCCCTCAGTTAGGGAGATACAGAAGAGTTCAAAGCAGATTCCAAAGTGTTTGCTCTAGCCAGAAAACAGACAATACCTACCTGCTGCCAGCAATTCAAGGTAGTTAGCTGTTCCCCGGCTACACCACACTCTTGCAGCAAATAGTTACAGCTCTTTCCCATTCCCCTGCCCTGGGGATACCATGCTGCTGCTCTTATCTGTAAAGAAGTATTTAGCACCTTGCAAAAGTATGAAAAACTTGCCTAAAGAGAGACAAATGAGGCCTTTAACCTACATGCACATTTTGTTGCTATTAGCAGTGCTACAGTAGAGCGTGGGTCTTCATCAAGGCTGAGGTTCTCACGTGCGATCGTGGGCAAACAGGCAAGGACAGTGTCTACAATGGAGGGTCTCAGTTACAGAAAGGACAGCCAGAGAGGCTGCAGACAGTAACAGGAGTGGACACAAAACAAATATAAGTTGCATCGAGGCAGAAAGTGGCACTGATTCTTGGGGAAGCTGCTGGTAATAGCTAGAGGCCATCACAGATCTTTAACACATGCCTTTAAATGAAGGACCTGATCCAAGCCCAAACATTTCTGTTTCTCTTTGGCACATGTATGTACATCGATGGCTCAAGTGCTATAGAAGTGTCGCTCTTGGGATAGAGAGAGAAGAAAAGAGAGAGAGAAAAGAGAATGACTGAGTGGGAGAAAAGAGCAAGTGGGAAAGCAAAAAAAGAGCAAGAT